TTTATTTGGCTTTGTAGTGTGCACAAAGCCATGAGACCTTGGAAACAGGTCTTAGGCTTTGGTAGAACTTGAGATTGTAATAGGTCAGAGTCTAGACGGGTATGCCCACAGAGATAAAATGCGAGGTTTACCTTGTCTCCCTCATTTTGAAAGGCTTTTTTCCCCTCTCCATTCGTCCATGGATTTCAGAGCAGTTTTCAAAGTATAGGATATGTGTTATCTTGTTTTGCCAGTTTTTACAGACGTTTTAAAACTTTATTACTATGACATTTCACTTCTTCAAGTTGTGACCATTTGAATGTTTCAGGACCCCTAAAAGCGGGGAAATAGAAGCAGCATTTTAGGACTTCACATTGTGTTTCTGTAAATGTAGCAAAGATTTGAGAGCTGTATGAGTTATACTTTAATTTGAAATATGGGAGAGAGACAGGAGATTTCTCCAAGGTTCCTATGAATATCAAACACCAAATATGGCAGTTCTTCCCTTTCCCTGTCTAACTGCAAAGTCACTCCAACAGATCTGGTTTTCTTCAGAGCCTATGGAAAAAACACAATTTGTATTTTTAATTTTAAAAGCAATCTTCAGGAATTAACTAGTATTGTCAGTGGAATTAGTTAACAAAAAAGTAGACGAAGTGCAGCCCTTTTGCTTAAACACAGCTTGCAGAATCCAAAAAGGTGACCTGCAGCTGCTCCTTCTCCTTAAATGCTGCATGAAAAGAAAACTCAAACAATAATCACAGTAAACATCCCACTCTGAATATATATACAAATCAATGTGGGAAGCTCAACTTACTGTGAATCAGACTGCCCTTCCTTCAAAGAAAATCTGCTGTAACTCAAACAGTAATCACAATAATATCAATTTAGGTTTTCATCTCCAAAGTTGTTTATAAACATTAATCAAAACTTAACAGTGCTGCATTTTTTTAACAAGATATGCCTATTTAACCAGGAAAATATATCCACACATGCACGCATACACACACATATATCAATATTATGGTTTGGGGTAAATATTTACAATGATTGTTAGTGTTTTTGCAAAAACTAAACTGTATTTTAGAAAATGAGGAGGACATGATGTTCAGGAATAAAAGCTTAAGCCAGTTGAAGTTAATGGCAAAAATCCTGGGGTGGAATTTAGTTTCTACTGAAGTCTAAATTTTACATATTTTATGTACAGACTTGAATGCGAGCAAGATTAAGCCAAAGGCATTTTAAACAGTTATACTTCTAATGGTCTGCTCCATCACAGGATTTCACTATGCATTTACATTTAAGCACCAGAGTAGCCCCACTGAAATCAATACACAATTGATTTCAATGGGACTACTGGTGTATAGTTACTCACATGATAGATAGACAATTGCAGAATTCAGACCTGGTTCCCACTGCACATTTTCCCCCCATATAATCACGTACTTACATTCTGGAAAATCAAATCCTTTATATACCTTTATTTGCAAAGCATGGACATCCTTCAGTTCCTGGCATAAGCTTTGAACCAAAAGTCCAAGCACCAAATTGATCTCTATGATATATAAATATAACTGCCATTCAATAAGACTTATACTTTACATCCATATTTGTCTTACAGGCAAAGATGATGAATGTTTGATCTGTAGAGCTCCTTGCCGTACAATATTTCTTTCAGAACAGGTAAATTTAAGGCTCTAGTATTAGTAGCATTTGCATTTGCATAGTTTTTTTATACCGGAATTATGACACAAAACACTTTCCTTCTGTCTGTCATTTGCACCATAGATATTTATTAGTAGTAGACACAGATGCTTTTTTTTTTTTTACACTATACAGGGCATATATTCATGGACTACTTCAAACAGAACTATATGTAGGTATCTGAGGTTTCCAGACTTTATGAACCTTCAAGAAACTGGTTGTTGGTTATGACAGAAGTTTGCTGACTGCTATCAAAAATAGAAAGACCCTGCTCATGACCAGACCTCAAATCACTTAATCCTTTCCTCCTATGGTTTACAGTTCATTATACTGGGATTGGATTATCTGTACACCCCAGTAAAAATGCACAGCTTGCATGACTTACGTCCTTGTACTCCCTGTACTTGTCATCATGCACAGCTTCAACATTTTATGTGTGTGCTGGAACTATTTTTCACTTTCTTAAAAAAATATGCTGTTTCCTACCCTCAGCATTACCTTCAATTGTGCTGGAAGATCGCACAGGAACATTTATTGGGATTTTTTTTTCATTTCACCAAAGGACTAAACAACCCTCATTCCATTCTTGTATTAAGAAGGTGCCAGAAAAATTAATCTTTCTTCTTTCAAGCCATGCAACTTCTTTTCCTTAGTTAAATGGTATCTATGGAAGCACATTACTTTTGCTCCCTGACTGACTGACTTGCCAGTGAGGTAACACATGTAATTTTCATTAAGGTAAGGGGATTGTAGTGAGCATTCACAGTGGATCTAAAACTGTTGTCACAAGCCCATCTGGGAGGTTGTGACCATTAAAAAAAGCAGCCTTGGTAGGACATGCTGAAGCAAAGGTTGAAGTCAGTGTTACACTGCTGCAAAAATGGGCTGTGGTGGAAAAGAAGTTTTGGAACAAGCTAATAATAAATTACAGTGAATTTGTCTCCGTTGCTATCAAAGGGCAGAAGCATAACTGGATGCTTGGGTGCCCTGTGTAGCAGCCATGCACAGGGCAGTATCAGCGACTGTGCTAGCACAGATGTAGCGGTAGCAATGCTGCCAGCTCAGCTGCTGCCCTTTTAGCACAACCTCTCTGGTCACCCCCCTCTTCGCTATGTTATTGATCAAGGGAGTTTTACTATTGATTTTTGTGAGACCAGGATTTCAATATTCATTTATAATATGTCATCAAAACTGGATACAGTCTAAATCAAGCTTTTTAAGGAGTCTGCGAATGGAATACCTGAGCTACTAATAAAAAAACATTGTTTGATTAGAAGCTGTCACTCTTCTAGAGGATAGGAACTTAAGAAACTACTGTATCTTTTAGGATGGCACTAACAGTGATTTGCAAGCTTTGTTTAAATAAACAAGTAAATAGGTGAGCATTCACAGTGGGCTGTGAGAGGCTTCAACAGAGCTTTGGATCGGGAAAAGCTTCGGATGCTTTGGGGTCTGAAGCAGCACATCCCAGTCAAAGCACTGGCCTCGTTTGGCTTCCCAAAGCGGTTCGGCGCTCCCGAAGAGCTTCAGAGCCGCCTCAGAGATAGGCCGTAGGGTATAATGAGGAAAAAATAACGTATCTATAACTTTGTTGTTTTTTGTCCGATTTGGATGAAATGTTCCGAAGTGATAGACTCTGCAGAGAGGATGAAGCCTGCCAAGTTTCAAGAAGATCGGTACAGGGGCTTAGGGGAGAATGGCACCCCAAATTCTTGAAAGCAAAATTCATGTCATATCTAGATGTCACAACATAATGGGGTGAGAACTGCAGGGGTGGTAGCTCTTACTGAGGCCACAAAATCTGCCAAGTTTCAAGAAGATTGGTGCAGGGGTTTGGGGGGAACTGCCGTTCAAACTGCGGACAAGTAAAACTTGTGCCATGGGTGCTTGTGGGACTGACTGTGTCTGTCTTGGGGCGGGGAGGGGAGACATTGCTGTAGGCCTGGCTGCTAAGCTGCTGTGTTACCAGTTACCAATCAATCAATCATGATTCACTCAGGGACCAGGGACTCCAGGACCAGCTCAATACACAGGACCTAGCTACTACATAACAACTTAACAAGCAGCAATTTGCACCTACAAAACCAAGCTAATACAGACAATCAGCTGCCACAAGACAGACACAGTCTTGGCAGGAGTTTTGTCTGTCAGCAGCTAGGGGTGCAGGGCTCCAGAACCCCCCTGCACCGATTTTCTCAGCAGCTGGCAGGCGTCACGGGGGGGCCACCATCCCTGCAGCTGTCACCCTGCTGTGCCCTAACACATGCAGTGTCACCCATGGCATGAGTTTTTGCTTGTCTGCAGCTTGAGGGGCAGTTCACCCCAAGCCCCTGAACTGATCTCCTTGAAACTTGGCAGGCTTTGTGGCCTCAGTAAGAGCTACTAGCCCTGCAGTTTTGACCCCCTCTGTTGTAACACATAGACATGACATGAGTTTGGCTTTCAAGAATTTGGGGTACAGTTCCCCCTAAGCCCCTGCACCGATCTTGAAACTTGGCAGGTTTCATGCTCTCAGCAGAGGCTACCATCCCTGCGTGTTTCATCCAAATTGGACAAAAAAACCCCAAAGTTATAGATATTTCATTGATTCCCCATTATACCCTATGACCAGATCTCTGAGGCTGCTCTGAAGCTTTGGAGCTGCTTTGGCTGGATAGAGGTGGAAACCCAGTCCAGACCTCCGGATCGAATCACTGCCATCCAAAGTGGCCAGATCCAAAGCCAGATCAGATCACTGCCAACTCACACAGGCCTAAATTATAATGATGATTAAGGATCAACAGAAAAAATGTGGTGTTCATACAGGTCATTAAGCAATTATTTCAGAATAGTTTAAGTACGTTGCTGAATCAAGGGCTCGTTGTTTATTATTTTAAGATATGATATTAACATCCATAGTGCTCTGCGCAATAATTCATAGTTTGCACATTTGTTACAAACTCTTATTTTTAACGTTTTTGACCTAAGAATGAACCTCTTAATAGCTTTTACATCTTTAGTATATTTCTCCTATGAATTTAATTTAGTCTTTGTTTTTTCACTATACCCATGAACAGAGTTTATAGCCTGTCCTTTTAAATATATCTTGAAGACACATACTCTATTTTATTATTATAATGGCTACTGTTCAATGAAATTTGTTTTCTTATATAGAAAAATTGAAGTCAGCTATCCAGCACCGAGATGAGCTAATACTGCTTTAATTTGAAATAGTTACACATCTAGGTGGTATTGGATTATTTTTTATCTATGTATCAGTTTACAAATACGCCATTGATGAAATATCCAAAAACAAGATAATCACTTTCTAACTTATCTTCTAACAATTTAAAAAAATGCTGTATTTAAACTTTTTCCAAATATCAATACTAATTTTGGTAATATTAGTTTTTGTTTTTTTCTGTAGACAAATATTGATATTCAATCACTGTTTATGGGAGTTGAAATGTTGTGCAAGAAATACTCAAGAGAAATTACCCAGGTGAGTCTAGTGAAAAAATGGTTTATAAGATTTGAATTCCATCTGTCAGTCAGAATCCAGATACTTTGTGCTTTTTTTTTTCTAGAAGCTGAGATTTCCTTTGTAAAATTGGTTGTTTATCTTTTGTCTTTAAAGGATTTTATATATCTCTGTTTTTGACCTGATCTGTAAATGTACTCATCAGTTCCCATTGGCTTCAATGTAAATGGCAAAATTGTATGACTAGATCATTTTCCCCTTTTGCTTTTTTGAGTCCTCAATTCAGAGATTCTTAGAAATGTATAAATTCCCCATGAGGGCTACTATTGTTTCTTAAATGTGTTACTGACTACCACTATGGTCATTTTAATAATGAACAAATATTTGTCAATGCAAAAAAAGCTATAGAATATTAGATATATTGTAAATCTAAACAGGGTTATTTAAATCACTATGGTCATAACAAATTATGGCAAAAAATTAAACTTTAAGGGAGAAAATAAAAAATAGTATGTAAAAACTCACAGAAGTTTCTAAGTGTAGACCAGATGAATAAAGTATGTACGTGTACAATGTGAAATTTATTCCTAATTATGTAAGTTTAAAAAGGACTGTCTCAATTTATAACTTATAAAATTATTTACCTATTTATTTACAACATGTCACATACCTGGGTAGTGAGGTATAGATACTGGCAGTCTGGATTTTATTGTACAGGATATTCCTTTCTTTTCCTCTATTTTATATTCACAGTTTGTTTATTAATCACACTTTAACATGTTCCCAAGCATTTGTTTCCCCATCACTGAAGTTTCACACCTCATGCCACACTTTCAAAAGTATCTAACATCTGGCTTGCTTGTTTCTCTTCCAGCTGAAATGATCAATCAGCAGTTTCTCTTACTCCCTCTCTTACTCTCATACCTCTGACCTGCAAGCCACAGATCACATCCTAAGCTCATAATCGGTTGCACAATTGTATTTGCCAAGCTTGGACTGAAAGTTTATTTTAATAAATAGAAATTATGAAATTCACTGCAGGGTTATGTTTCTTTTTACTGCCTCTCCAAGAGTCCTGGGAGAAAAAATATTCTGTAGCAAGCAGAATGAACTCATTGTAGTTATAGCTAGGCTTTCCAGATGCTGTAAAATGCATAATGTGTTTAATCAAGTGTAGAAATAAAATTAATAACCTGACGTGTGAGTTTATAACTTGCTACTTTTTCAAATTTGCCAAATTATACCTCTTTCCAAGTAGTTGGAGATTATACTGAGGAGTTCAGCGGGAGGTACTTACTATATACTAATGTCATAATCACCCACTGTGTTTTGCAATCCTTTTTTTTCTTTTTTAAATTAACTAAATATTTTATAAGACAAGTTATACGCGACAATAAGACACAATACATTTTATATTTCCATTGATTTTGTGTATGTATGTGTGTGTGCTTATCTCTCTTTTGAATAAATTCATGGCTTTCAAACACTGTAGGCAAACTGCCCCTTTTTTTCTCTGGCTTAATGTCAAACATTCTTAAAAAAGATTCAGTAAAATAACTTTCCTAGCTACTGGGTAGATAAGACAAAATTCAAACATACAGATGTTATAATACTTAGTTGTTTCCTTGATGCTGACTTGGAGGTATAGATCTCCCTGGGATCTATACCTAAAGAATGTAATGAATTTTTATAACGAAGAATGTGAGTTGCATCAAACATTTTTCTTCTGCTTCCATTTGTTGATGTTATAGAAATTACTATAACAAATGCACTAATAATGCTACTACCCACAATTTATTTTTAGATTTCAGAATTTCAAGAAAGACACAGAAGAAGGTTATTAGCATACTACAGAGGAAAGGTTTGATTTCTGAGATTTTGCTTGCTTGTTTTGTTTGTCTTATTGTTTTGGCTTTCATTTAGAAGCTGATTTAGGGAAGCTGATTCCTGTTATTAAGGTTGCCTGACCCTTCCAATTGTAAGATCTTTTTCTTTCAGTTGTAACTGTATAGGCTGAATTGTTTCATGCTGCGTGTTGGCATTACAGTAAATTCTTTGGGAAGATTACAGCCAAAATGGGGTAATTCATTCTGCATTTGTTTTATACAGGTTCATTCTTGAAATTTCTTCTTTGCAAAGTTCTAGTGCTTTGGCCCCATCTTTTGGTATCAGTGACCCACCAAGCTGGCACCCAGGCAGCATAGTGGAGGAAGCTGCCTGATCTTCATGCCAGAGAAAAGATATAAAATTTAAGCCTGGCACTGAAGGATGAGAAGAAGTAGGAAAAAGAACTAGGATTGGCTGAGCAAGCAGTCTGGGATGGCAGGCATATTGATACTGATTGGAATAGAACAGGTACTGCCAGGAGGCAGTTGTATGGGGAAACAATATTGAATGAGGGGTTGGGGAAAGGACAGAATCCAGTACTAGGAACAAGTACAGGTCTTGAGGGTAGAGTGGGATGACATAGATCTGTCAAGGAGCTAGAGCATTGTGGGAGACTAAAGCTAGCACTACATAATGGATGCCGGGATCCACAAGGAGTCTCCCTCCAAGTGATCCTGGGTTATCGGGTGGCTGGAAACCCCTCTGGGTTTCCAGGCTGGGGATCCAGCTAAGTTCCTTCCTGGGTCCAACATAGTGGGGTCTATTGCAGCCACGGTTCTCTGCCCTCCCTGTCTGCATGGCTCCACTTCTTCCCTTTTATCTGGCTCTGGGCATGGGCCTATGACATCACTCCCCAAGCAATGCACAGCGGCAGGGAACAGGTGCTAATAAATCACTGCTGTGGCATCTCTCCCTGCTCCACTTCCATTGACTCCAATTGTTATAGTTACCAGCAGATGTTACTCAATATTAGCACTGGATGGCCGGGTCCAGGCTTACTGAGGGTGGTAGAAGCGGGGGAAGAACAAACATGCATGCCTCTGCTCCCTGAGGTTGCAGAGAGTGGATTACCCATCTTGGCTTGTCTGCATCTCACTTTTATAGGGATTTCAAGTCTTTGTTCAGCATTGGGGTTTTTCCATGCTCAGTCTTTAATTAGAGGTTGTTTCTTCTCGTTATCTCAACTTGAGGTCATTCCAGTAAAGTTGGTGTCTTCGATGAGGTCATTTTAGTAAAGTTGGTTATTTCAGAGTTGGTATTTCAGTCTTGATCTTTGCCTTGTGTCTTTGAACCATTGTAGTTGAACTACACAAGTATTGTGTAGTTCAAATGGCAGGATATGCAAAATTCCTTTTTCTAACTATCTTCTTTGCACCTGATCACAGATGAGTTTTTCAGCCATCCATGAATTAGCTTACTGTCTGGTAACTTATACATTGGTGCCTTGTTGCTTACACAATCAGTTAAATCTTCTGTTTTCATTTTCATTTAGTTACTGTTCTTTCACTATTCACCCTCTCACACAGACGCTCACGTACACAAAGCATATAAAGTTCTTCTACTCATGTCAAGCAGGGAAAAGCACAAAATGGCATTTTAGTTGTTCATACAATCATAGAGGTTGATCAATTCAATATTATTATCATTTAAACATAATAACTAATATGCAAAAATTCATACTACACAATGGCAAGTACCAGTCTACTCTGACAGGGAAGGAGCGTGGGGGCCAGATCAAGGCCCTCTTCGTGAGGGAGTGGAGCAGGGGTGAATGGGGACCTGGCCAGGCTGGAGTGGGACAATTGGAGCCTGGGCTGCTCATCCAGGGG